GGGAGTCTGCTTCTCCCTCTGACCCTCCTCCCTCTCATGCTCTCTGTCTCTCATTCTCTCTGTCTCAAATAAATAAATAAAATCTTTAAAAAAAGAAAGAAATTGTGGAATACAGAAGTAAAAGAAATAACATTTTTAAAGTGCTAAAAGAGGAGCATCTGCCTGACTCAGTGGAGTGTGGGACTCTTGATCTCGGGGTTGTGCGTTCAAGCCTCACATTGGGTGTAGAAATTGCTTAAAAATAAATTTAAAAAAAAATGCTAAAAGAAAAAGCTGTCAACCCAGAGTCCTATATCCAATGATAATATCCTTCAGGAATTAAAGAGAATAAAGATATTCTCAAATGAAGAAAAACTAAGCTAATTCATTTTTAGTAGATTTGCTCTTTTCAAAATTTAAAAGAAGTTATTCATGCAGAATGGAAATGATACCCAAAAGACATCTGGGCAGTCAAGAATGAAGGAAGAGAAACATAGAATAGTTAAGACTAGGTTAAATGTAACAAACTATTATTCTCCTCTCGGAAGTTTAAAAGATGTTTGATCATTGAAAGCAAAACTTACAAACATTGTCTGATGTTTTCAATGTGTGTTATGGTAATACATAAGAAAACCACAGCATAAAAGAGGGAGGATAAAAAGAGCTATATAATGGTAAAACTTCTATATTCCACTTGAATTGGTAAAATATTTATGTAAGTATTCTGTAAAAGATTACATATGTATAGGGTAATCCTTAGAACAACCCCCAGAAACATGCAGAAATATAGTGAAAATACATACAAAATAAATTTACAAGCATACTAAAAATGTTCCAAAAAAAGAAGGCAGAAAATGGTTGAAAGCAGGAAAAAAATAGAAACAAATAATAATATGGTATACTTAGATCTGAATGTATAAAAGATTACATTAAATATGATTTAAACACTCAGAGAGAAGAGTCCAAGATGGCAGAGGAGTAGGAGACCTTAGTTTTGTCTGGTCCCAGGAATTCAGCTAGATAGCTATCAAATCATTCTGAACACCTGTGAACTCAACCGGGGATCTAAGAAAAGAAGTGCTGCAATTCTACAAATAGAAAAGGGACCATTTTCTGCAAAGTAGGAGGTGCAGAGAAGTGAATCCGAGGCAATATATTGGAAGATAAACCACAGAGGGAGGGAGCCTCCAGAGGCCAGCTATCAGAAAGTGATATAGCAGCAGAGCGCAAAATCAGAACATTTGGAAGTCTGCTCCAGTGAGGGGCATCCCTGCCTGAAAGGTGCTAAGGCAGCAAAGCAGGGCAGAATCCTAGGTGGGAGAGTGTGGTCTCAGAATCCCTGGGGTCATAGAAAGAATAGGGGTGCCTGAGTGCAGCACAATTCCCAGGCATTGGAGTGGGGAAGCCAACTGCAATCAGTGAGACCAGGAGTGGGCTTTCAGCTCGGCATTGCCATAAACCATGAACTCCGGCACAGTCGGGCAACCACTCTCTGAGCAGGAGTCCAGCAAGCAGTAGAACCATGGTGAGACCCATCTACCTCCCACAGGAGGAGCCATACGAGTCTGCAGGGTTTGGAGACTCAAAGCAGGGTTGCATGCCCGAGATAGAAATGCTGGGTTGCAGGCTGAGTGAGCACGGAGTGCAGACAGAGACCAGGGAGACAGGAGTGATTAACTGCTTTTCCCTGAGGGTGCACTGAGGAGTGGGAGGGTGGGAGCTCTCAGCTCCGGGGCTGGAGGTTGGGAAGCCGCCATTTTCATTCTCATCCTCTAAAGCCACACAGAAAACCTTCAGGGAACAAAAGCCACATAGAGCAATCTGGAGCAGTTTACTTAGCCTGGCCCCGTGGCAAGGGTGGTGCAGTTCTGCCCAGGCAAAGATACCTGAGAATCAGCACAACAGGCCCCTCCCCCAGGAACATCCAGCTAAGACTAAGTTTACCAATCACAAAGAATTGCAAAACTCCAGTGCTAGGGGAATTTAGTATATTAAAACTTATGGTTTTTTTCCTCATGATTCTTTAG